GAGTTTCCCACATTTGGGGAAATCGCAGGGGTCAGCACATCTGGAGTGCAATGGATAAGCCTCGCCCTGGGAAAACCACCTTTGAGATTATGGTATCTCCTCCGCCAGGTTAAGTATTATCTGTCACTCACTTTTACCAATAAAACTGAACCATAATTTATGGCTGCTTTCACACTGCAATACCAGTGCCAAGTACTTGTGAGAGAGACTGAAAATATTTACTTTGGAAAAAGTTGCTGACTTCTGACCACTTTTATTTGTAGAGATAACCATAAAAAATTCCACCTCAAAAATGGTGTCAGTCAGTTTCCATTTCTAACACTTCTTTGCAGGTATTGTACATTGATAGTGTATAAAGGATGAAATTGCTCACCTTTTCTTACGTAAGACATCACATGATTTGAGTTCAACGTGTTTTTCAAAAGGGGGAATTTTGCTACCCTCTTTCAAACTGTTCAAACTCATAGACATAGTAAAACTTATTCCCAAATTAAAGAGTATTAACTACCCCCATTCCCAAAAGACAGGTGCTACGTTACCTACAATGGCATCTTTTCCCTTGGGCACATTACTATGGATCACAGGTTATTCTCTAATCTTAGCAGCCTTATTCCAGACACAATGTTATACTTTCCTAACACTGTAATCACAATCTTTCCCTGTTGTAGCCACATCAGGATGAAACCTATAAAGTCAGATGCCCTAATGAAAACATAAGAGGCAATAGACGATCCACGAGTCTCGGGCCAAAGAGATACTATCCAGCTACTCCCTACCTGTTATCTGTCAGGCTAAATATAGGACCTCAAGCTTCCCCATGCAACCTAGATAAATATATATATAAAAATACATGTTTTGTACAAGTTTTACAACAAGTACAGTTAAGATCTGTCTTGATAATTTTCACTCTTTATCAGATGATCCTACCTGTTTGGGCACAAGCCATCAAGTCTCTTTTTTCCTTGATAATAGGAATAGCATGCTTCTGCACTGGAGTCGGGCGAGTGTAACGAGTAAGCTCAATGTTTCCCATAATAATTTCTCCCATTTCAACATCACTGAAACTTTCAATATGTGGAGGACAGTTGTTGCCTGTTGCCTCAACTGGAATGTCATCGTATTTCTCAAAATTAATCCCAGTGTTGCCTCCAGAGAAGAGTTCCTGTTCCAAGCGTTCACTTGGTGGAAGTGGTTTTGACCAATCATCTTCATCTGATTTGTCACACCAGCGACTATTTCCACCACGCTCAAATTTGCCAAAGCCACCTCTATCACCACGACTGCCAATGCCATCGTAGTCACTCCGTCCACGATCATCAAACCTGCCCCTTGATCCACTTCCACGATCACTGAAGAAACTAGATTTCCCTCTTGAATCACTGCGGGACCCAAAACTACTGTATGCATCCTTATCTTTACTAGAACTCCACCCTGAACTGTCTTTATCGTAGAATCCTTTAGTAGCTTCTCTGTTCCTTAAGTGAGGAGGAATATAGCGCCCTTTACTGGCTGTACTTCCTCCACTCTGATTATCTGAAGAGTTCAGGTCTAGGCCAGCAAACTGCTGGCCCAGCCCGAGCGCATTTTCCACCGCCACATGACTCATCCCTGAAGAGTACCGAGAACTCGGAGTCTTCCAATGCTGATCGAGTGTCTTTGAAACA